ATGTTTCCTTCTTCATAAATAATAGTTTCTAGTGTTTTGCAAATTCATTAAAATGCTTCCAACGTGTTAATTTTAATAACAACAAAGTAATTAATGCAACACTTTCCGACGATTAATTATAAGACATAAATTTGCAGTATGTAAATCCAATAAAAATAACGCTGCCTTTCATTTCCTAACACACATATGGTTATTATTTTAGAACACAATGATCACGAGAATAATAATACCGTTAAGCTCATTAATTCTTAATACATGGGACGAAAATGAGCACCAAGAAAATGATAACGTTATTAAAACATATCACAGCAAATAATTTAGATTTTTGAAAGCAAGCTACGAACAAAAGAAACTATAAGCTCACATTATTATTCACTTTCCCTTGCTACCTTCTTTTCTTCATTTCCGAAACTGAATGTATTCCTTTCCAGACAAAGAAGATAATTAGTGGTTGACACGTCACAGTCTGTGAGGATAATGGCAAAATAATTGAACTGCATCCGCCATATTTGTTTTGAACTTCATTCTCTTCAACAAATCGTTCATTTCGATACGTACCACAAAAGAATTCGGAATGAATTTGAATAATAAAAAACATTATCATTTGCATGCAAATGAAGACTTAACGAACTTCTCATTTTACATTCCAGACGAACAAAGGAAGAATTACAAGCTATGTAAAAAAAATTTGTGTTTAACTTAAGAGATAAAAAACAAATTTCGAATGAAATGGAATAAAGTCTTATTTTCATTTAAATTAAGTATTTCATGGAGACAAAGTGAAAAAATAAGAAAGGAAATCATGTTGCTGTTGCCAAACAGTGAGACGAATTTGTAAAGCCATTGAAAATAGAAATTTGAACGTTAAAATTTAAATAATTGAAAAAACAGACATTGCGGAATGGTCTTTCATCTGTTAATATCAACTTATTATCCTTGTAATTGATATTAAAGTAACTTTGAAAATCCTAAAGTATTCAAAACTTCATTTTATTTTACTTCAATGGAAACTTTTCATTTAAACGAATGCATTTGAAGACAATTTCTTTTTCTTTCTAAGACATGTCAAGCGAGTAAATTCCCTGAGCTTCCGAAGAAATTTCATTTTAAATATTTTCTCGTACTTAAATTTTTTAGGAGGATTTAGTCGCACACGTAACGATCTGAAGTTATTTTCAAATAATAAAAGTATTCGTCGTAGCATTCTCTTTCATCGGGGGATTCTTTTTGCTAGCCGAATTTTCTTCAATAAAAGTTTTATCGTTATTTTTGGTGTATTTTTCGATTTCTTAACTCTTTTGCGATAAATTATTTTGTTCGTTTCTCAGCGATACTCAGCTTTATTTATTTTAAATGCTCAATAAAAACTTTTTTATTCATGGTACAATGAGCTTTTATCTCGATAACAGCTTGGATGCTTTTTTCAAACTTAAGTCAATGCTTAAATTGCGACAGTTGCTCAGATTTTGCTACTCAGAAGACTCTGTTTCTGAAATATCACAAATAATTGGAGTCATTTTTATAAATCATGCACTCTTGCTATAAAAACGTAACTCTTAAGGGAATCAAATAGTTGAATCTACAATATTAGTCCAATTAATAAAGTCTGAAAACTAAACGTGCGTTCTTATTGCTATGTAACTGAACGAGATTTATTTCTTTATTTTGATCAAATTCATATTTTATGGATAAATATTAATAAAAAGGAAACAAACGAAGCATAATTCTTGCTGATTTCTTAAACAGAGAATTTTTTGCAGAAATGGAATACTTTTTATTTTTAAATCAGAACCTAAATTAAAAGTATAAAGAATATTTTTCATAATTACGCGAATCTAGATCACATTAATAAAGAAGCTTTTACGAACGACGTAAGAAATGAAAACATTCCCTTGAAAATTATTTCATTAAAACTGGTGATACGACAGACATTTAACATAACTTTAAAAAAATACATTTGACTGACTACATTAAAAGAAGGATGTTATAGGGTATTTATTTTTATGACGTTCTTAATTTCGCAGTAAGAAACCATATGCTCAGACATGTTGAGAAAATGGAAAAATAAAAATTTTAAGAACAAAAAAAGATGATGAAAAAAAACTCTCTTTACCTTTCTTAAGCCTATTTCTTTCTTAAGCCGATCTAAAAATTAATTTTAGTGACTTTTAGGAAGTCACTAAAAATTAATTTTAATTTAAATTAATTTTTTTAATTTTAAAATTAATTTTTAGATCACTTTCCTGTGTCATTTATTATATGATTAGCAATATCCTCTTTTCAGATCCTAGAGAGATTATCATATAGCAAAATTTCAGTTTGAAATTCTCAAACAATATTTACGTTGCCGCTCTTGTTTTCAAAGGAGATGATATGGATGCTGTTACCAGCATATTTTCAGACAAAGTACTAGAAGTTTCTGTTAAGTTATTTTACTTTGCAAAATTCTCTGACTTGTTACGTTAAGAATTAAATGAAGAAAATAAGCAGGAATGAAATCAAGATAATAAAATTAGAGAAAACAGGAGGCTCAGAAAATATGTCAGCTGAAGTTATATATTTTTACAACTATAATAATTACAGGGCGTACTAAAGAGTTAAAATATTCTACACTGAAGATAATAATAATTGACGATATAAATCTCTAGTCGAATCTTTCGCATAAAAGTCAGTCTAATTGAAAGATCTGCAAGGCTATAAGCAAGAACCACATGGTAATAACCTCCACTTCACTGCGAAGTTTACCTCTGGTTACCGAAAACATGGCTGAAATTTTTGCTAGTATGTATGAAAGACGACATATACTAAAATTAATGATATCGATAACCAGGATCTAGGTATTACAAAAAAATCAATAATTTTTTAATAATTCGCTTCTGACAACAGATTCAAAAACCCTTCTAACGGATCATTATAGAGGGTAGCAACCTAAAAAAATGCTATGGCTCATAACAAAATTTCTAAAAAGTGCGCTTCAAGCTCATCAATGGAAAGAAATGGTTTTCGTTCAGTTTTGAATTGTATTTTACATTTAAAGTTTTTCCATGATGAAAGCAGTTTCATTTTTTTAATTTCTGGAATGAATGAGAAAATTTTTCCTTTTAATCCTTTATCTACAACAGCAAATAGCTTTGAAAAGGTGCTTTTTAAAGGCCCACAGTCACTTCTGCCACTACAGATCACTTACGTCCGCTCAATTTGATTTCTGTAGAGGCATTATATGGTTCACTAAGTAGCGCTTCTTGTCGGGTCTATTGCAACAGCTTTCAATGTAAAAAAAAAGGAAGAATCATTGTTCTCTTTCTACATATAGGAAGTATTCAATAAGATTTGATTTACAATCTATAAACTCATACATTTTAACTCTCTAGTAGTACCTGTTGTTGCATCTAAAGCTGTATTTAAAATAAATGATTTCAATTTAGGATTGGAAATTATTTCTTGAAGTTTCGAATGTATCGAAATATGTGTGCCGTTACGTTCTTTGTTGAGTCCTTTTCTACTTATTCAACAATATTTTACCTCAGCACATTTAAAAATCAAGTTGCACGTACATGCATGTCGAATGAATCCTAAATTTATATAGCAAATATTAAAAAAGCACATATAGCGTCCCTTATTCGCCTTTTAGGAATTTTATCCCGGAACCACATGCATCATAATTTTTTTTATAACAGCTCTAATCCTGAGCGGATTACGTTTTCATGGTATGCTGATAATATAGCTCTGATAACTCTTTCGTCATTCTCATTAGGCTGGAAAAAGTACAAAAGTCAGTGAATATTGTAAAATAATTAGTTTAAAGAATGAAAGATGAATGTAAACTTTGGTAAAATTATTACATTAGTAATTGCCATATAAATCTAGTTCTCTTATTCGGTTGCCTTTATTGATCAAAATATAATTTTGCATAATATCTCTAGAAAATACATACATGTGATACTAAGTAAAAATATTCCCTTCAAAATAGTTTATAGGAAATATATATAATGCATTCTAGAAATTAACTTTACCAAAGTATGCAGCATATATCTGAAATGTCGCAGATCACACCAACAAGGAAACATGTATAATGTCTTCATAAAATGCCATGTTGTTAATATCAAATAGTCGGGAGTTTTGATCAGATTTCTTCTTTTCATGGGACATTCAGTGCTCTACATCGATAATTATATACTCATATCTTGTCCCAAAATTTTTGTAATGTCAGAGAAGGTCACATGTCTGAGCATATTGACACTTTAAGGAAGCTGTGACTCTTCAGTAGCCCAACCAATTTAATAAGAAAGATGGTAATTGCCTTTACCTTAGTTACACTGCCTTGTGTGACTGAGGCTAAAAACAGTTAGTATCAACCTTTAACCTCAGTCCCACTAAGGTTTGTCGTATATATTTTAGGTTCTTAAGTGTTTAAAAAATTATTTACCTAAAGAGGCCACATATGTAGAGTCTTGTTCCAATGTACTGTTTGTAATTTAAATCAATTTGATAATTTTAATTTTGTTATTGTAAATAATCTAAAAATATGTTTTGTAATGTTCCATTTTCAGTAGTTTTTCCACCTAAGTCGAAGAAATCCACCATTGGATCAGTGTCTCTTCCGAAATAGAATAACATGCTTTATAATGTTACATTTTTAGTAGTGTTTCCATCTAAGTCCAGGATTTCCACCATTGGATCAGCGTCTGTTCCGGAGATATTTACATTAATAGCATCGAAGAAAATACTTTTCCCCAACTTGTATTGAACATTTCTCGTTTTTTATCGATGGGGATACTCGATTACAAGAGCTGTACTAATTTATATCGCTTCAGAAAGATTGGTCATAGCAACCTTTTGAAACATTTGCATACAAATTAAAACAAAGGTAATATTTTAACTATGTATTTCTTAAGCTGATATATTTTCAGTATGTAATGTAAAATACAGCATCAAATACAATCACTTTAATAATTAATTTTTTTCTTAATTTGTTTCTTAAATAAAATTGATAATTTTACCGTGATCCACTTGAAGGACACGAGGTACGCTGAGACTGATGCAGCTTCCTTGTCCATCTTTGCCCGCAGTAAATGTGCCCGATATGTCGTGATGATTAGGAGATGGCAATTCTTCACATTCTGGAACCAAATCTTGGTTGGACAGCAAAGGATGCTTTCTGGCGGATGCCATTTCTTCTTTGCAAGTTGAGGCTTCCAGAATATCGCAATCATCGCGGCACACGTGTCTCGGAACGGGGTATGGAATTGTGTCATCACAGGGAGGAAACATGACGTAGCAAAAGAATGGTACAGCATATTTGTGACACTCAGGGCTCATCTCCTTGTGAGAATATTTAAAAGAAGAATAATTTTAAGATACATACAAAGCTTCATTGATTTAAAAAAATATAATAAGAAAGAAATTGTGCAAATTTCTATTTTATTATCAATGTCTAGAATGAACACTCACTTTTAGAATCGCTGTACTACATCTTTATTTGCAATTCACTATTTCATATTCATAAAAATTATGCAGTGACTTACATTTAATCAAAGCATAGAACCTTTAAATGCATATATGAACTAATTTGGATGGTGAAGACATGTAGATGGAAAATGAAGTATTTGCAGACATGGACGATCTAAAATTTCTTTAGTGTTGAACAGAACATCATCGTAATGGTTTCAGTCTGAGCGTGTTTTCTTAATCATATTTGCTCTTTTTCTACATATTCAAAACAATTAATTTCGATGAAGTCAAAGAAAAAGTCAAAAAAAGGTGTACGAGCGAAACGTAAGCAGGTTGAGAAGATGGATTTAGTTCAGATCTGTCCTCCATTGGTTAATTTTTCGTTTTGGTTCCCAAATTTGAAATCATTATTGGCTAGTGTCTTAAATAAGTTTTTGCGTTATGGGCGTCACGTAAGAATCAGATGTTAGCGATTAAGTTTGGAATGACGCTGTTTAGAACGATTTATTTTAAACACCGACTATTTTTAGGATGGAAAGGAGAAATAACAGAATTGAAAATGAGTTAAAAGACTATTACAAATTAAAGTTAGATTTTTATTTACGTATTTTTAATCTTACATATACATTTTGGAAAATCTAATAAAACGACGGAATATAATTTTATAACAAATTTAATATTCATTGATGGATATAAAATTCGGGAAGATCTTATATTTCACTATATTATTTTGCTTCAAAATGTATAGGGAAAATTTTCATTTTGTCTTATGGAAACATTTCATACTGAATTTAAAAAATCATAAAGCTAAACAAGACAAAGTACATTTACATATTCGCAAATGTTAAATAAAATTCTGAAAAAAATCTTTGCCCTTTTACCGGCAGCACAATCTATAAAAGTATTGATCAAAAACGGCTCAGCCAATCTATCATTTTAGCCGTCTCATAAACGAGAATGTCGCCACCACAGGGGTAGACCGATATCCTACCTATGGGAAGTTTGAAAAGACAACTACAATCATCCAATGTCTTTTCAGTGATTTGAACGGTTTGCAAGGCGAAAACAGACGGCTCTAATACCCCAGTTCCGACATGGCGGCATGAAAACAAAATTCTATAAATATATATTTATTAAAATTTTAGTTAGTTTTATATGAATAAGATAATGATACTGTATTTGTTAGGTTTATATATGTGTGTGTGTATATATAAGATATATGTGTATATATAAGATATATGTGTATATATATATATACAGGGCGTTTCATAGATCATGGGACAAACTTGGAGGAGTGGTGTAGTGTACTAAAACATGCATTTTTTTATAGGAATGTAGGGTCTAAAGTGACGGGTTAAGCCAGGAACGCAAAAAACGACACGAGAGGAAAATGTGTTTCTGTACAAAATTTCAACGCAAAGTGCTTCATTGTAGCAACAGAGTATTCACAATAAATGTTCGAAATTGCGACCACCAGCAGTAATACATGCTTGCTAACGTCGCAGAAGGGATTGACTAACATTTTGAAAAACAACAGGCATTTCGCGCACGCTTGCAGCCGCAATGGATAGTTATGCAACGAGGTCCTTCCGTGAGTCAACGGGAATCTCGTAAATGATGCTCTTCAGCTGGCCCCCATAAAAAATCCAAGCTGGATAAACCTGGCGAACGGGGTTGCCATCAAACGGGTCCACCACGGCCAATCCATTGGCCTGGAAATGTCCCATCCAAATAATTGCGGACTCGCACATGGTTATGAGCTGGTGCACCATCATGCTGGAGCCACATGCGATCACGAACGACAACCGGAACATCTTGCAGCAATTCCGGCACGTCTTGCAGAAAAATATGATAACATAAGCCATTTGTACGTGCAGGTAAGAGGTATGGGCCTATGAGTTAGTCGTTAACAATACCTGCCCACACATTCACGGAGAAGCGGGTTTGGAATGCATGTGGACGTGTGCCGTGTAGATTATGAGTTGCCCACACGTGCATGTTGTGGCTATTGAAGATGCCGTCCTATGAGAAATGAATAGCATGAATCCTATGAGTCCGTGAATAGCACATCCGATTAGAAATCCGCCTGCGCCGCACACTGCTGAAAGAACCAATGACAGAAATGAACTCGAAGAGGGTAATCTGTCTCTTGCAAGGCTTGGACTCTCTGCAAATGGTATGGGTGCAAACCATTTTCATGCAATACTCTCCAAACGGTGGAATGACTCAGCTGCAGACGACGTGCAATAGCTATTCTACTTGTCTGAGGTGATTGATGCACAATGTTCAATATGGATTCTTCAATCCGAGGTCACTGAATCACTGAATTCTTCAACACCATACACTGTTTCAGATGTCAGGCACTCGGCCACACTCAACAAACACGCAGAAACAGGACATATTTCGCTTATTGTTCCGGCAATCATAACATCAAAGGCTGCCAAGCGCGGTGCCCCACATGCATCAACTGCGCCGACAACAACTACCGGTCTCATGAAACAACAACCTGCAACCACGCCGCCTATGAAGTTACCTGCCCAATGCACGCAAAGTATGTCCAACGCATCCAAAGAAGCACTATCTACGACTAGCAACATACCCATGGACAGGGATAGTTACGCAACAGCAGACAACCCCTCGGCAGGATCCATGACGGACAGGTCTGATACAATAACAGAAGCAACTAGTAGAATGTACATAAAAGTTCTCCAGATAAATTTACAGCGAGCACAAGCGGCCACCTCCAATCTAGTACAGAATGCAATCTCAGAAGACATTGATATAATACTAATTCAAGAGCTGTACTGTCGAGACGGACATGTAGCCAGCATGCCCATTGCCTGGCAGACATACCAAAAGGAAGATGCAAATGCAGCACTGGCACCCAAAGCAGCAGTAGTTTGCTGCAACCCGGCTTGGGCACCGCAAATTGTACACCTACATCGAGGGGTAACAGTGGGCTTTATGTGTTCCATGTCATATTTTTAATTAATTTTATTGTGTATATTAATGTGTTTTATGTAACTGCTGTTTGTAATTTATATATATAACATATGTACTACGTTCCCACACAATGTCTTACATCAGTTATAGCCCCTGTATGGCCATGTAACAAACTTATTTAAGATCCAAATGAACTCTCGGTGCAGCCTCCTGGGGCTCCAGGGAGTTGTAGTCTCTAGATAGTGGAGGGCGCGGGACATACGCCTGTTTACCTATGTTAAACACCAGGCGTCCCCGTCCTCCGTCACCTGTACCTGTATGGCTGCAAAGAAGCACTTTGCGTTGATTTTGTACGTATATACATTTTCCTCTCGTGTCGTTTTTTTCCGTTCCTGCTTTAACCTGTCACTTTAGACCCTACATTCCTATACAAAAAATGCATGTTTTAGTACGCTTCACCACCCCTCCAAGTTTGTCCCATGATCTATGAAACACCCTGTATATATAGTATATAATCTTAAATTTACTTAGTGCGAAATCAAGTTGTTCTACTACTTGCGCAATTGCTGCAAAGTAAGTTAATAATAATTTATTTACTAAATAATATTGATTATATTCTTACATCTTGAATTTTTTAGTTACAAGTTAATGAACTTAGATTTTTAAATAAAGTGTACTACTACTACTTTTACTTCACAATGCCTGGCAGCGTGATCAATGTGAAAAACCACATGAACTTCATTTGGTGACATGTGTTTTAGATATTTTCGTAATGAAAAATGGCCTGAAATCATTTCACAGTTGATTGCTTAGTTTAGCGACTGATTTCGAGCACTGATATTTTTATAACATCGTCATCAGATATATCTCCGAGATTCGTAGAATTCTCATTTATGTCATTGACATTTAATATGAAAGACTAGAATGCCAAGAAGAAGCAGTGGAGTAGGTAGAGGATATTTTTACAATTATTTTCGCAAAATCCCAAAGCCACCTTCTCACTGATGGTCACTTAGTCCAATTTTATCACTAGAAAATATATAGCTTAGAAAATTTTCATAGGCACTATAGTCAGAATATTCTTTTTCTCACGTACAAAAGTTAATGTAGAATTATTTTAAATAATATTAAATTTTCAAAATAAAAAATATAGAAAGGATTCAGGAAACATTTTATAGAATACTAGATGAATATACATTCAGATTAAAATGGTAAATTTACGGATCTTTTGAATATTTTGAAACTGCAAAAATTGTGTAATGGAATTTTGAAAACATATTCAATGTTTTTAACTAGATATATCATGCTTTCAATGGATTTTTACTTAAATCAATCATATTAAAAAATAAAATAATATTCTTAAGAACTGCATCGATTACTTTTATTTAACTCTGTTAATCAATAACGTAAACTGAACCTGAAGGATAAAATCTTACATTTTACCGAATGGCAATAGACTCAAATGAAAAGTTAAGTATCGAACTTACAGTGGACAGAAAGTGAATCAACACAAGATTGTGTTTCAAAACTAATAGCTCTTTCGGACTAAAAAGCTAGAATAAATGAAACACGATTATCAAAAACGTATGGCTATAATTTCTAATTGGTCAGAAAAAAGTTAGTTCTAGAATATACGAAACTAGACATAAAGAATGTAATCAAAATTATTTAAGTTAAAACATTTCCATTGAAGTGGGAAATGAAGCGATTTTTTCCTGACGTAAATGTTATTTTTTTAGAAATTTTCATTAATATAATATGCTTGCACTCTTTAGTAATAATTGTATACGCCGAAATTTTGATTAATTATATCTCGGAAAATTAAGACCATACGAATATTCTTTCTTTTATTTATTTCTATTTGCATATGTGGCTGAGTGAAAGTTCTTTCTTTACTGCTTTAGAACGAAGCTGTAAAAAATTAGCATTCTGTGAGAATTCTGTGTTCTCACATTGAACACGGTGGCATTATCGATTCTTGAATCGTTATCATGCCCTCCCACATGCGTCGCAGTGGATAAAAACTGGAAGGAGCGGTTTTGTCTTTCTCTTTCTGCCTGTCGTTGTGTTAACGAGTGTGTGACACACACAGCTCTCGCCATCGTCCACTGTAAAACATCATGTAATCGAGCTGATATTCTTTTGCATAAGATGGAGGAGAAAATATGTTCTTGTACGAAGAAAGCTGCATAAATGAATATAAGAACTCAGGTAAACTTTACTGGTTATGCTGCGAGGTAAAATTGTTCCTGCTGTGATTCAACATGTATATCCTGATAACTGGATTTTTCGAAGTGACGACCATGTGCGCCAAATTCAAGCCTATCTACAAGAAATCTTCTCTCTTCTCTCGCGAATAATTGCACCGCCTATTAATTAAGCTTCTTGCAAGATGCTGATAAGTAATGTGCCATCGATGCTTTAGCATTAGGAATTACAGTATACCGTAAGAAATGAACGCTGTGAGAGTCCCGTAGGACTAACGAGTAGGACATGCCGAAAGGCATTCATGAATTATAACCTAGGCTTATCAAGAAAAGTGTGTTTTTGTGATTTAATAAATGTATATTTAAAAGAGAGCTAATGACTCATGCATGCCTTATTGGGTAAGTCATTTTATTCTTATTATTAAAGATCATGCAATGTACTAACCACTAAATTTTAGTTTAACTATTTACGCGGAATTAATTCGCATTTGATACTCTTAGTATCGTTACTTTTATACGATCACGGCCAACAACACCACACATTCCTTACACTTTTACTGAAAAAAATAATGCGATCGAAATTCAGTCCTTGCGAATTAAATGGCAGAATGCGTGTTTCTACACTTTTCTCCTGTGCAAGACAAATACATAAGCCGATTCCTTTAGAATGTTCACTAAGAAAGTACTTTTCGTGTTGAGCAGGTACTTCTTGAGCGTCACACATTTTAACAAAACGAATGTAAGAAACAATTATCAAAACTGTAATTTTCGGAAAGCCTATTTTATTTGATTTTTATCTCAAATTCGGGGTTCAACTGTTCATTAATATTTAATCATAATTTTGAAAATCCAGTTAAATTTACTTTCATAAGTACTTTCTAATTATTTGCACACCCAATTTTAAAATTATTGGGAACTGCAATGCTTTATAGTGTAATTTTGATTACGCATGACAACAGCAAAGCACACATACGCGTGCCACATACATATTAGGATACACGCGGACTTATACGCTTTAAATTTAATCATCATTCCTGAACAGGGTCCATTTAAAAATGTAAATATCAGCTGCATAATTTTTTTTAATCTTGTAAAATTTCCTGTTCCTTACGAAATGTCTCTCTTGTATAGTTATTTATTATTAGAAATGTAGCTGTGAGGAGTAAAAATGGCCGAAAAAATGTTTTTCGCTAGCTCACAAAATCACCAATAGCGTCTTTGCGTAAGGATGTGGGGTACTTTTTCTGAATTATTACATTTCACATTCCACATGTTATAGATGAATATGGTTATTCAAATACATAAGATAATATATGTAAGCAAGCAAACATATCACTTCGCAAAGAAATCTACGAAAAAGTAACAAATAATGAACAGATTGTAGCAAATTCCACACGGATAAAAAATCTAAATTTTAAGATATTTAAGTGAAGCAAGTTAATCAGTAATAATCAAAAATATGTAGATGAAAGTTAAAATAAGAACATTGGTTAAATTTTAATCACTGCGTTAATTACATACTTCTGAAAACAGATCAAATAAAATCAAAATGTATGATTTAAAAATAACAACCGAAATTAATATAAACAACATTTACCTAGTAGACGAATATTGGAAGCAGCAATACTCAAATTAAAACTGAGAATAGAAGAAATCATTATTAATTTTTCCTTAAGTTTGTTTTAAAAATGTATATAAAGAAAATAATCAAAACGTATCAAGAGCCGTATTAAACAAGCTGTATACGACTTCTGTTTTAAAACTCACTAGTTTATTCCTCACTAGGACTTATAGTATTTAGGACACTAGAACTTATAGTTAGAAAGTGAGATGCATGGAAATAACGGCAGTTTTATACTTTGCCTCACTAGACAAAGTATAAAACCGCCGTTATTTCCATGAATCTCACTTTCCAACATTTTTAATATTTTCATTGATAAAGCGAGAAATAAATGAAATAGGGAAATAGGGATCAGAATTCCATAATGCTCATTTATGTTTGAGAATTAATGAAAAGGAGTATCGGTGGTTAAAATTTGACCGAGACTAATTTTTTTAAACCAAAACATTTACTTCGAGTGAAGGAGCTGAACAGGTTATCCTTCAACGTACTCCAAAAGAATCGATACATTTGTGTCAACGTTCTGGAGCATTTTCACGTCCTTCTAATAGAAATTTTTTATCTGAAGGCGAATTCATTCCTGAATACTGGCGGTGACCGTTCGAAGAGTATGTAACTCAGTATTGAAGAAACAGATCCAAGTTTCGCTGCGATCGCTTCCAAAATGCCTCGCTTTATCTTCAAAAAGTTCTAGTCTGCACGAGACGTAAGTTGGGGGTAATGGCTTTACTCACCCACGGACACAGATGGGTATAAGAACTGATTCCTAACAGCAGCTGCCTCTGCCACATATGAATCCTCTTGTAGATTGTTACCCAAAAGAAAGGAATAGCATAGTCAATATTATCTTTTAAACCATAAATCATATTTTATATAGCTATGAAGTTATTTTGATAAGTCAAAAATGATAGTAACTGTTTTCATGATTTATGACTCAGCTTGTGAATGGAGAGTTTCACTAACAACTCAAGATGACCTTAAATGCTTTTAAGCCATTGGCACAATGCAATTGTAAACATGACGTGATAGATTGCTGATAAAAAGCTAAAAAAACGTTGAGCAGCAATAGTAATTTTAAATCTCGGAAGGAAGTTTACGATTTTGTAATTTAGGGCAATCAACTGTCAATTTTCCAGTTGTTATGAACGATATCGCCTTAAGAAAATACAACTTTACCTTTCCTGTTGCCAAGATGGTAAAAATAGCTGCCAACTTCTCCTCTAATTTATTCAAAGTCATTGATGCCTTCACGTAAACAGTTCTATTACCAATCAGTTGTGAGCAGGCGACGCCTCTGTAGTGCTGGCAGAAACCCAAATCGTTTTGCTCAAATTCTGGCAGCCTGAAATGAAGTAAAAGGAACATTCAATACATTTTTGTGATTTCATATACATTTAAAATACAATATAATAAATAATATAAAATAGCTAATATAATAAATTCATTATATTAGCTATTTTATTTAAGAAATATATATTGTTTTCAATTCATTAAAGTTTAGGTACATTAATTGTTAGATTGTGATTTTTTCCCTATGCTCGGAGACTAGTTTGGTAAGAATTCCAGGAATGATTAAATTCCAAGGTAACTTAGTCTTCTCATCACCGACAGCGTTTCCCAAAATGCAATATAAAAGACAGCGGTATACAAGGACGGTGATTCTTAATCATTGTGCTACGAGAATCTTAAAGAGTGCTGCCACATTTTACGAATACATATAATAAAAGTTATTTTATATGTACGTATATACTAAATTTTTTTTGTATAGATCCGTATATAATTTTCCGCCACTTCAATATCTCGAGACACCACTGCGAATACCTATGCATAAGCGACATCAAACAAATATTTCAATTGGTTCTAACTTCTTAACTGGGAAAACCAGTTCCAACCGATAGTATACTGAAGGAGGGCGGACCATCTCGGGCCCCTGATCATCGGGACCTTCGAAGAATTTTAAGTTTCTATGTACTCATGTGCAGGAAAAAATAACAAAGCTAAAAAGTGTTCTTAGTCTGGGTCAAAGCACATCACGGTATCTTAGGTAATAAACTAGCGGATCAACAAACCAAAGCGGCAGCTCCAGCAGTAGAACGTCCTATCTATGTTTTTCCTCTTCCTTCTTCTTATATTAAAACAATTTCATGGAAATTTCTTTTGACAAAGTGGCAACAAGAATGAATTCTGGTATAACTGGTCGAAGAATATATAAATTTGTTCCTCAAGTCTCATCAAAATTATATTCAACCTCTTCCTCAGTTACCTGGTTTGCCACAGGACACGTCCCTTTCAAGAACTACCTTCATGGCTTTAGATTAAGCTCAGATAATTTTTGTTGAATGTGGAAATATTGCCGATCCCGATTATATCATTTTCAATTGTACTCATCCTGCGCAAGATCTTCTAAAAGCTCCATCCGAACAAATTGGGCCACAGTGATTCAATAATTTATTAAAATACAAAACAAGCCTAGGACAACTAGAAAAAATAATTTCACACTGCAGCTCTTTAACACTTACTGTTTTTACAATAGCTAGATGTAGACTCTATTCTTCTTTATAATGTTAAGTGTTCATTTTTTGCCTCTATAGTATTTTTAAACTGTTTTATCTTAATTTTGCTCAACAATAGCATTGTTCTTTACAATATTTTTTAATTGTTCTAATTTTTATCATCACAGTTCTGTAACTTTGCTAGAGATGTTAAAATAGTTTCTCTTTACTTTTAGTTCCTTTATGAAAATTTTGTTCTATTATGTTTATTCATATATGATGTGCTCTGTGGTTGTAGTGCTAGGTCTTTAAATTTAAAATCTCAAAGTCCAAAATTGCAATAAGCATGCCTAATTTTCATATCAATGCTTTTTACATTTTCCCTTCAAGACATAGTTTTTATCCCAAATTAGTTTTCTTTTTCTAATCGTACGAAGCACCTAATGCACAAGGTACGCTAGTATTTATAACAAAAACTTTCGTTTTCTTCTGACTATTTTTCAATTTTGCACATCTGAATTGCCACCCGGCCCTTGGCTGTGGTGCGCTGATAGTGGTTTCTTCCTTCCGTGAGATGGTATTATCCTGTTCGTTGTCCTACAGGATACCTTAGGTTAGGAGCCGTCTCGTCGGGTAGAGCTGTCTTGAAAATGTTAAAGTTTCCTTGGGAAAGAGACTTCCAAGGATTAGTCCCTAACTTACATTTAACACTAAAGACTGTTTTTGAGAGTGAGTGCTTCAGCTGCTTCTTGCAAGAGAAGCTTTTCAATGTTCATTAAAAGCTATCTTCGATCAAAATGAGCTAAGTAAGTCTGAACGGTCTGACAATGCTTTCATTGAAAATGCAGTAACCTAAAACGTTAATTTTTATAAAAGTATAAAAAAACAATTTCAGAAGTCAAAGCTTTCAGAAAACAATTTTAGCATTTTATTAGTATTTATTAATGTTTTAAGAATATTTTCTAAAATAAATAATAAAATTTTAGAATTTTATTATTTAATTTTAGCAAATATTCTTTAAACATCAAAAATAACAAATTAATAAGCTCTTTTTAATCATATATTTGTCTGCTAGATTCATGTTGATTTTTCTTTAATCTTAAGATTTTCTTCTTTTACAAATCATTTTTACTACTAAATGTTGAATGTTAAAAGGTTAATAATATATTTGTGTTGCCATTTTGTGTTTTGGTCATTCCAATAAGAGGGACCCAGGAAGATTTCTGCCTCGAGCCCTGATAGCTGTAGGTCTCTATTGGTCACAACGCATCTTGAAATGTTCAGTGTTTCAACCAAAACACAAAACATCCATTCCCGAATGCGTCATATGGGAACTAGAACAGCAAATTTCAAATGCTTGACTATTACAGTTTTGGATTTAACTCAAACAGAACTATACCGGTCGTGTCCGGTAAAGTTCTTAAAGCCTGTGCATCCATTAACACTATGCATCCAGAAGAAACTCCAATACCCCATTCTCATTTCTTCCTGTTCCCAATGCTAAACATCACGATAGGACCGGTACACAAGTTTAGTATAGTATGCATAGGGATAGGTTACAACTTATATATTCGCTTTTGCACAGGCAATACCAAAATATTGTGTTATCAAACTTAGTTAAAACAGATTCAAACGTAATTTATGATATTAATGATCTAAAACTTTTAATAATTCTTTGACATCATTTTTTTTATTTTAAAAGAACCTCCTACAATGGATAAATGCATAAAAAAGAAATATTAGCGATGGTAATGATGATATAAGTGATCAATCAGGTTTACGACCCCAAACTCAGTAAAACTAAAGATGTTTGCTCCGTCAAAAAATGTAATGTTTACGCAAGTATAATGACAACTTCTTAAAATTTGAATTTATATCTAAAACGGGAAATGATTAATTAAACAATTTCCGAGCATGTGATGTGTGGTTGTAAATTATTAAATAGTGCTATGGTTCCAAGCAAGCATCAGCGTCCCTTGTTCAATAATCATTCTTCGCTTGCATCAAAAGACAAAAGCTATTTTCAAAAATCATTATCTTCAAGATCCAGACAAATAAAGGCTTTTGAAAAGAAATTTAGTGTGTTTGAAAAATCTCATACAGCAGTGTTTCTTAAACTGTGGGTCGCGAACACCAGGGGTCACGGGACATTCAGCAGGGGGTCGCCTAAAAATATAGCAGTTTTGATATTTCTGTAACTTATTATAATAATTTTACATTTACGAAATATTTCTACACGATGTATCTGAAAATAGATAAAGATAAGACAATACAGACTAAGAAAAAAAGGAAAATCTTTCGACGCCTTCTTTTTATAATAGAAACATTCATTTTACATGCTTTGCACGTGACGCTGTCATCTCGTCAGTTACGTAATTGAAATTTTCACATTCTTGTATGTCTTAAAATTATAAATTAAAATTAATGACCTAAAACTGCGATAGTGTATTAAAGTACAAATGAAAAACTGACAGTTTCACACAAGCGCGTGTCGGATTTGGGCCATGCTTATAGGGTCCAACAAAATTTTCGTGAATATTATGAGCTCCAGGGGGTCGCGACTGAAATCGTTCAAGAAGCCCTGTCATACAGCTTTTTAAGAAGTGGCTTAAATAATTGCTCTTAAATTAAAACCTTATAATTTGGCTGAAAAAATGATAATACCTACCAGTTGTAAAGAAAATGATTGCTGGGTCAGCAGAAATTGGTATTTATAAACTACTACTTTCAATTGACACAAGTCATCGTAGAATTATAAATCTATCTTCAAAAATTGCACAAACTGCTGCTTCAAATTCAAATTTTGCTCTACATATCACGGGAAAAGCAGCACAATTAATCGCATTCACGAAAATGATACGATTAATCATTTTTTTCTTGTTTTTTAATTATATGATTCCACAAAATGAAAACATAAATTAATTTGTATTTATTAAATTAGTTTTGCATTGTATTAAATTTATCTATACATACAAGTAATTAAACTTTCGTGGAATTTGTGCATTAACATTTGTACAAACGGTGCTCCCGCTATAACCGGATCTATAAAAGGTTTTATAGCACAAAAACCCCGCCGGAAGGAAACATGATGCAGATATATTAGTTGCACATCATGCTTTACATTGGGAACAAGCATGACAAAGCAATTGCACACAGAAGTTTAAGTGGTTGTCCAGTGGGAAAGTTTTATCTCGTGTTCTTGAATTAAAAACGAAATAAAGGTTATCTTTTAAACAATATAATAAGAATTTTGTGCATGCGTTGGATGATAAAATATGGTGTGCTAGGCTTGCTAGCTTATTTGTTATTTTTAATAATATAAATATAAGTATGCAAGGACTGAAAGAATATATTTTAACCTCAGCTGATAAATTGTTGGGAGTTGTAAAAAAAGATAATTTATGGAAGAATAAGGCACAAGAATGTAGTTTAGTTACGGTTTGAATGAGTTCCAAAAGACTGTTATAAAATAATTCATAAAGTAGTTAATGATGATTGGACAATACTACAGCAAAGAATTGTTTATTACTTTCCAAATTTAAAAATAAAAAGTTTAGACTGGATTCAAAATCCATTTGTGATAAACGATAAATGATACGTTGCTATACGAGTTAACTTTCAGAGAAGAGGAAGAATTAATTTTGGTGTATAATAACCCAGATATAGTTTCAAAGCATTCAGAAGCATCACCTAATTCGTTTCGGATTATCTTACATAGGGTTATCCGATAATGTCACAAAAAAAGCTTTAAGTGTGTTATATCAGTTTTCAACATCTTATTTGTGTGGATTCGTATTTTCGGCTTAGACCGGTCGAAAATAAGATACAAACTTTTGAATCTAGGCCACGA